CTCTCTCTCTCTCTCTCTCTCTCTCTCTCTCTCTCTCTCTCTCTCTCTCTCTCTCTCTCTCTCTCTCTCTCTCTCTCGATGTTCTGTGGCGCTTTGCAGCCAGCGCTTCATTTTCGGAATCGGACTCATCCTCATCCGATGAACTACGAGTGTAGTACAACGGCAGAGGGAGCTGTTGGAAGCTTCTGGCGGCGTCCGGTAGGACCTGAAACGACCAAAAAATACCGGGGCCATTTTTGGGGGGCGGCCCAGGACTCGAAAAACGTCCTAGGCCCCCCCAAAAGGAAATTTTGAATTTTTCAAAATTAGGCCCAATCCAGACCTACAGGACCAGACACCGGACCCATACCCAGACAACCGGACCGTCTGGATTCCGGTCCAAACGTCAGGCCGGTTGCCATGGTAAAAATCCCGGTTGCCAACTCTGGTGTATCCTCAATCACAGAGAATGGAGTGTCTTTCTCTTAACTCTTTAGGGAAACCGTCTTCTCCTCGTGTCTTTTCTTCCCCCATCTGCATTAGCGCTGTCCACACCTCTCCCTTGGTAGCGGTTGACCAAGGAGGTCGGCTTGTTGCATTGTCTCTCTTCGCAAGGGGGAGAAGGTACTCTTCCACTTCCTTTTGTCTGGTCTCTGGAGCTGCTGTGCACGTTGAGGTCATCGAGATGTAGATACCTCGGGGGCTGCCTGCTCATCTCTGGGGTTGGCCAGTGCTTCGATAGTTGTCCAACTTGTCCTTCCTAACTGTGCTTTTACCTTGGTAAATATATTCACTGGAACCTTTTGTGTCGTGTTGGGTTACTTTCCCCCTGATTCTGATGCCTTGCCATCGCCTTTGGGCACATTCTTCTAGATCTTGTTTAAGAACAATAACAGTAATAACTTGCATTTTGGATTCACTAAATAAAAAAAGTAAAAAAACTGTCTTTTTTTTTTAATGTAACCAAAAAAAAAGATAAAGAAGCACAGAAAATGGAAGGTGTGTCTCCGTCAGTCACAGGCAGTGTCTAAATTAAGGACAGGGATCGATGGATGAAGGTAAAAATGAAAGTGGGGTTTGAGCGTTAGCAAAGGCTTGGGAAATGACAACTCAGGGTCCTTATCTGCCAAAAAAAAAAAGGAGCGAGGTGTCATTCATCCAGGTACAACTCAAAGCTAGTGGCTTGCCTCACGATTGTCGAGGATAAAGTAGAGAGCTACTACCAAAGCCCAGCCATTGAAAGAGAATGCGTCTCAGGCACCCGGGCAGTCCAACCCAGACCAGAAAGCGCTGTGAGTACAAGGATCCGTCATGCTGGAGTAGTGAAGTACTCGAGACAACACTCCTCGAAGGTTGGTGGTTGAGTGATTGTTGCTCACTATGCTCTAGGTCCCCGAGGTCTGGGTATGGTGGTGGAGACCTTGGAGGAGAGTGAAAGGGAGCTGGTAGAAGAGTGAATTCTTGAGCATTTGGCTTTTGTGGAAAAGAGAGGGAGAGGTTATGCACAGCTTGAGGTCAGTGATGAGGCTGGGTGTGGCCCTGCTGAGGGCCACCCACCCTTGTTGACATGTTATATTGCTGGGATTATTTCACTTATCTAGAATGTCTTCTGAACATCAGGACGTGTTTGTTTCGGGGGAGATGACGCAGATAGGCCTCATTGGGAACAATTTGCTGCAAATAAGCCCCGTCAAAGTACCAGAACGAGCTCAAGCCTCCGAAACTCGTGGCCGTATACAAGCAGGCTACACACTTTTGATCTACCTGTGTGGTGGAGACGGGTTCAGTAGTTGTGGTGGAAGCCGTTCTTGGATGTTCGCTTGCTGCTGGAAAGTAAGTGATCAAGAAATCCCAACCAGGAGGTGGGCTTGGGGCCTGCACAAGCGGTGGGCCATGTGCTTTAATTCGATACAACGCTCAAAACCTTGCCAGCCCTTTGACTTATGAAAGAAAGAGATGTACTTTGACTTGATACAGGTGCTGCATTGCTGTTGTCAGCGCGTGTCATGAGATGTCGGGCGAAAATTTTTGGTTTGGCTGTTTACGGTCCGTGGCTCCGATGCTTTGCCAATGCATCTAATCTGCCTTTGCGGTGAGGTGGACAACTTCCACCTGACTCTGTTTATGGGTAAGTACATTATGAGTGGCCTTCGTTCTGTTGTTTTGAATAACAAGCCCACTGGCCTAATGCAGAGGCATTTCCCTTGCGTTATATTGTAACTCCGTTCTTTGATAATTTCCAGCATCAGCCAATTCTGTTGTTATGTGCATAGCATCAGCCTGTTCTGTTGTTATGTCTAGGTCACTGGGCTAATGAAAAGGCATGCCCCTTTGTTCTTGTTTGGCTTTACCCTTTGATGCTTTCAGGGCAACTGATATAAAAACAGCTCGCAACAGTCAAGAGCTCTTGTCGGATATGATCAACTCTCTTGACCCAAAGGAAAGACAGGTGAGATGAATTCAGCAGAAGCGCCAGAAGTATGAAAGGGGTGGTGCCTTCAGGCCCTCCACACAGCTAGAAACAGGAAAAATAACACGAGTGTTTCTCGTACGAGCCTATCATTTTGCAGTGCAGCAAAAGTAAAAGCAGTATTTCCTGTATGAGCGTATCAATTTTCAGTGCAGCGAGAGCACAAAAAATTATGTTTTATTCCTGTCATGTTCCGAAGCTTTCGATCGGATTCTACAGTCTGCGTTCAGAATCGTCTTGATTTCGCGTCCAACATGCATACAGGCAGATGCCGATGGCAAAACAACTTCCTCAAAGCAGAATCAGCAACAAGCTTGAGATGGCGCAGTGCGTCCACACAGAAAACTCAGGGATGTGGCCTTCGGCCAGGAACTCGGCTAAGACAACTTGTCACATCTTGTGGCTGTGGCGTATGAGCGCCAGTCCGAAATTCCCACCCGAACACTGTATCCACCATCAGACACACTCACATGCACGTACACACACTACACTTGGATCTACCCTGAATGTCTGCACTCACTCACGCTATCTTCTATCTCCTATCTTCTACATACGGGCGGCTCTGGCTGCCGTCGTCTTCCTCCTCCTAGCGGCTATGGCCGCTTGCCCTCTTCAACCCGCTCTCCTGCTGACCACCCGTGACTCAACGCACAAGTCACTCAAGCAGCGCTTCTGCGTAGTTTGTCTCAGATTGAGTCCATGACTGATCGCTGCCTCTTTATTTATACTGTTTCGTTTGGTGGTCTGGGCCTGCCCGATGTCCCAGGCCCTCAAGATGTGCAGTCCCACTCTGGTACTTGCTGCCAAATGGAAGCCTTCTCATGTGCCCCTTCGGGGTTGACTTGGGACTCTTGACCTTTTAGAGATTTGACGGGCTGCCTCTACCGACTTCGAGAGGTCAAGTTGACACTTCGAGACCTAACCTAGCCACGACCTACTGACCTTTTAGAGGACATATGGCCAGTTGACCTTTCGAAAGGTCAACTGTAAACTTGCCTTTTCAGGACACCTACAGACGACCCTAAGACTTCTAAACAATAGACCTACGGATCAAATCCACACGACCTGGGCTTCGCACACAAAGGTTTGGGGCCAAGTCACACTGGGTCAACGAACAACACAAACGTACTGTACTGTACACTGGGTTGGGGAAAGTCTGGGGATAAAGTCCCGGTATCTGCAATTGTTGCACGAACTGGGTGAAACCCTTTCAAGTCTTGTGTATGGTCTGTTTTCTTTGTAAAACATTCTGATTGCTTACTGTACATTGTCCCAGGCCCGTGGCCCACCAAGCGATGTGTTTGCCTTCGTCTTTGTATCAGGCATTGGGATGGGAGACTGGGAGTTGCATTTTTCCATGGTGCCTGCCAGATTGGCCTACAAAGGGCTATAGATACTCCCAACAAGTGTTCTCCTGTGTCCAGACCCACTCTGTTGGGCCCTGCTACCAATCATGAAACATTATAC